GAGGCAGAACTGAAGATTGTAAATGATGACCCTCATAATCAACAAGGAAAAGGTTTGGTACCGCAGACTTTACCATCAGGACAGGTGATGTGGGTTCATCCCGACCTCCTTGATAATGAGCAATGGACTTCCAATAAGTCTGAAGGCAAGTCTAAGCTTTGTAACATCATTTTGGCAATTTCAGACGATAACAGAGCAGAAGTAGCAACTCTCACCGATTCCAACAAGGAAGCAGACACATTGATCACTCGAGCAAGGAAGGACTTTGCCAAGAACTACCCTCTGATGGCAGAGATTCCGGCAAGGCTACCAGTGGGACTGCCACCGACGGTTCAGCCAAGTCCTGACAAGCTGAGTTCAAGTGGCCAACCCTTCCGGTTTGACCTACTCGTGCAGCTAAAAAATATTCCAGCCATGATCACCCTGTATGAGCTCCTGCGTTTGTCTAGGATGACCCATGAAGCCCTACGAGAGGCGCTGACTAATTCAGAAGTTTTTGCCACACATTTCTCATCCACTCCTGAAGAAGTGGCAGAAATGGGATGTCCATAATGCTACCATGCATCCAAATAGCAAATCCCCTACATCACTTTCACTCCGAAGGATATGCTCATCAAAAGCATGTCTCACAACCGACCATTGTACTTCATAGGATACGTAGGTTCATCTCGGATAGATAGGATCCAAGTCAAAAAAGGGGGTGCCTCAAAAGTGGTTGTCTTCAACAAACACCATCATCTTTGGCTTTAACGCCATCGAAACCTAACCGCTTAGGAAGATTCGCCTCAAATGCTGATTGAACGACATGAAAACTGAGGTGACCTGCTATGTCATCAATGCAGAACCCTCATACAACATGTTGTTGGGCTGACCATGGATCCATAACAACAGGATAGTCCCATCCACATTACACCAATGCTTGAAATATGTGGACGACTATGACCTGGTGAAGACGGTGGTTGCGGATAAATAGCCCTTCAAAGGGGTTGAAAACTACTTCACCGACTCCCTGCTCTACCAGGACTCTAAATCGAGAGACAAGCCACCAGTCAAGGAAGAGGGCAGTGGCAATGAGGCTGATAGCGAGTCTAAGTGCAACGAGGGTCTTATCTTAAATGACATTGAGCCCATTGTAATCGGCTACGAAGGCCTTGCTGTAACCGACGCTGAAAAGGTAGGCGGACTTACCCTCAATGAATAACTCACATTTGCTTACTTGTCACCTAGTGCGGGATCTGTTGAGGATAAGCTTAGCAACTTGATATCGGGATTGTGCTACGATTCTTCCCTGCACTTGCCTATGCACTCGTCATTCGTCACGAACAAGCAACTGATCAAGTCCTCGCAAGCTGTCTTTGTCATACTTGCCCAAAATATTTCTCAGTAAGAAATAATCTTCAGAATGATAGACCAACCTGCACACACACACACTATGGGATGAGTCAGATGAAGACAAACCTGCTCCTCAAATCTCATGTTACAGCCCTATCACAAAATACATGATGGAGAGGATGGGTTATGACTGCATCCACCAAGAATGTTTGAAGTACGACAAAGGCCGGAAAACACCCCTTTGACCCGCCTATGTTCCCAAAGGGAAGCCTGGCAATTACTATGGCAGAACTCGAAGAGGGCTAGGTTACTCCTCCTCTTCCTCAGAGTTGTACTGCAATTTCGACAAAATATCCAACAATGCTCTCTCAGATGATCAATCGTCGACGTCCTCGACTTGGGATTTAGATGTTAACATCGGGACCCTGTTCAAAGACTTCACGGTCAACATGGCTATGGTCGATATCACTAAAATCTAAGAGGATGACCAGATTCTGCTGTATGATGAAGCATAGGATCGCCACATTAGTGCCTAGTGGAGTGGTCACTTCGAACAGCATGAACCACCCACAGAGGACAAAATACTCCAAATAAATATAGGGGACGAGGCAAATCCTAAACCCATATTTATCAGTGACAGCTTACCTCCCAAGGAGAAGGAAGACCTCAAATCCCTCATACGAGAATACATCGAAATCTTCGCATGGAATTATGAGGACATGCTCGGCCTTGATCCTCAGATCGCTATGCATCGCCTCAACATCGGTTCAGATACCAAACCCGTCAAATAGCAGTAGAGACGGTTTTGTCCATAAATCATAGAGGCGATCAAAGCCGAAATGAAGAAACTGATCGAATCAGGCTTTATCAGAGAGGAGCAACACCCTAACTGGGTGGCTAACATTGTTCTGGTTCTGAAGAAGAACGAAAAAATCTGTATCTGCATCGACTTTAGAGACCTCAACACCACATGTCCCAAGGATGAATTCCCTTTGCCCATCACGGATGTCATCATCGACAACACCTGTAGTTTCGAGAGGATGTCCTTCATGGACGGATTCTCAGAGTATAATCAGATCAAGATGCACCCTGAGGATGAGAAGCACACTTTGTTCAAAACTATGATGGGGGTGTACTATTACACAGTCATGCCCTTCGGGCTAAAGAACACTGGCGTAACCTATCAAGCGCCATGAACACTATCTTCCGAGATCACCTATGGAAAACAGTTGAATGCTACGTGGATGACCTGGTCGTGAAGAGTCGCGACAAATACGATCACCTTCAAGACCTGAGAGTCATGTTTAATCTCATGCACTCCCATCAACTAAAGACAAACCCTACAAAGTCATTCTTAGGCATGACGAGTGTCAAGTTCCTCAGATTCGTCATCACGATAAAAGGGATTCACATTGATCCCGACAAAGTGCGAGCTATCCAAGAACTCCAACCACCTAGAAATCTCAGGGAATTAAGAGGACTACAAGAACGTTTAGCCTATATCCGAAGATTCATTACAAATATTTCAGGCAAGTGCCAACCCTTCTCCAAGCTTATGAAAAAAGGCATCTCCTTTGTAAGGGACGAGCCTTGCCAACAAGCTTTCGAGGAGATAAAAAATTATCTCTTGAATCCACCAGTCCTGGTAGCCCTGATCTCAGGCAAACCCTTCTTGATCTATGTACTAGCAATGGAGCATTCTCTCGACGGTCTCTTAACACAGAATGACGATGTTCGCCATGAGCAAGGCATCTACTACCTGAGTAGGACCCTGTAAGGAGCCGAATGGCGATACCCTATGGTCGAAAAGGAATGTCTGGCCCTAGTGTTCGCAATTCAAAAAATGTGACACTACCTGGTCAGTCAAACCATTCATGTCATCTCCCGAATGAACCCCATCCGAGTTTTTATGACACAGCCTGAGTCCTTGAACTGGTGCCTGGCGCGATAGACACTCTTACAATCTTAATACGACATCTACTTTATGCCGCAGAAGTCTGTCAAAGGATAGGCAATCTATAATCTCATGGTCAGTCACCCACTCAAGTCGAGGCTAACTTGTTTGAAGACATGCCGGATGAAACCCATGAGGTCATTGCAACCTCACAGGAAGAAGCCTGGCGACTATACTTCGACGGCGCCTCTCGCGTGGGTACTACTGGGTCTATCATTGCAGGTGTGGGGTCGTCTTGGTTTCTCCACAAAACCATGTATTACCTTGAGCTTTCTCATTAACTGAGCCATATACCAATAATGTGGCTGAGTACAACACACTACTCATCGGACTCGACTTCGCCAAGGAGTTAGTGGTGAAGCACCTCGAAGTCTATGGTGACTCTCAACTTATCGTCAGACAGATGATGGTGGAATATGAAGTCAGAAATAACGACTTAATCTCATGTCACCAATCGGCCATTAAATTAGCCGAATCATTCGAAAGCTTCCGCATTGAGCATGTGCTCCGTTCTAAGAACACGCATGCAGATGCATTAGCATCATTAGTAGCTGTTTTCGTTAGAAATTATTTTCATTATGGAATCCATGAAACTTTAGTCGTTTTATAATGAATTACACAACAAAATAAATAAAATTACAATTTTTTAGAAAATAACACAGGAATCGTTTATCGACTTCTGCTTTTGTAGGGACTTTGCCTGTGTCGGGGGTACGTTAGCCCGTAGACCACCAAATCACAGATTCTGATTGAATAGTAAAGGTTTTAGATATTCTTCCTTTGTTTAGAAGTAAGAATAAAATCAGTGAATATCTTATCGAAGTAAGATGAACATTGTTCTCAAGATCAAGTTAAAGCTTAGATCTTAAGGAATTGCCAAAAGCTCAAGTTTTTCTGCTCTATCTGCTCTTTGTGCTCGGATTTCTATCAGTAATGGTCCTAGGGGGGTATTTATAGCCCCTAGGAAAGTTTTAACTAAAAATAAAATACCATGGAGTATTTGTGCTTGCGAGACAGTTAGAACTGTCTCAGCGGTCGAGACAGTTATGACTGTCTCGGCTACCGAGACAGCCATGACTATCTCGGAAAGCCTGAATTGCCCAGCCATTTTTTCTTTAACCACCTTCCTATGTTCTAAACTTTGTTATTTTGGTAGTTATCAGTATGATTCTCGCCTGTAATGTCTCCCTCGTTCCTGAACAGTTAATGACCACGTGTCATGCAGTTACTTCAACAGTTTTTGAACCTTTAAGAGCTGTCTCGCGTGCGAGATAGTCACTACTGTCTCACGTGCGAGATAGTCACTACTGTCTCACGTGTGATATAGTCAAAACTGTCTCGCATGCGAGACAGCTTAAGACTGCTTCTTTTTGATCTTTGGATGATTTCCTCTTAGATGGTGACATTTATCGCCTTCTCTCCATCTTGAGCTATGTGTGATGATCTATAGGCAATTTTTTATGTCTACAGATACCTCCTCCAAAGTATTTTAGTCTCAATCTACTATAAAGGAATCTGGAATACTTTGGATATGATATACTTTTACTTTGATTCATTAACTTCTCCATA